GTATTTTGATCACTGTAGGCAGCGATCAACTGGTAGGGAAGGGGTTAATTTTTATTTAGACTGGGTAAAGGGGGGTGGTATTTTTGTTTTTACTTAAATGTTACTAAAACATATTTTTAAAACTTTTTTTTACCTTTTTAAAGCTTATTTTAAAACTTTTTTAATGTTAACCCCTAGTTAGCCTAACACCAAATTCCACAATTCCCCACTAACTTCCACCCATCCCTGCTAGCTAAATATATAATTTTTAAATATTTAAATGAATTAATAAAATAAATTTAAAAAAATCAAAAAAAAATCAGATGACATTAAAATGTATACCCTGCCAATTGATCACTGTAGTCAGTGATCAATTGGCAGGGAAGGGGCTAATTTTATTTATTTATTTTTTACACAGGGAGACGATCAGCAGCACTGATCCGTCTCCCTGCACTTCACACAGAACCCGGAAGTGCAGGGAGGCGAAAGGTGAGTATACTGAGCACATGTCAGAGCATGTCAGAGCGTGCACCGGTGCTGGGGCAGCCCGATCGAGTGCTCCCGGTCTGCCTCTAATACAGAGGTAGACCGGAGCACGGTTAACCTCACGATCGCGGCGATCTGTGGTTAACTTTGGTAAATGACGGAAAATTTCTGTCTGTGGTCGGGAAGGGGTTAAAACATACATTTATAAAAACATTAGCAGGTGTACAAAAGTCCCTGTCTATGACATCACTTGCTGCTCCATCCTGGCACAGGTCAGAGTATTTTGGCAGTTGCCATCTTCAAACGGTCGTATTTTACAAACTATAAATCCTACAGTGAAGAGCTTTATATTGTGAGAACCCAGACCTACAATTTGGTGCATAGCATGTCTCTGAAGTATTAAAAATGAAGGCACAGTCGCAGTTTAGAAATTGCCCTTCAAATTTAAGCTGGCTAGAGTGGAGTTTCAATGAATGTCAATGGACAGCGTGAGTTGCAAATAAATGGTCATATTGTGAAAACTATCAGGGCTATGGCTTAGCCGTGGAAATTTTTAGTGGCAGCAGGGATAGCTGAACGTTTTGATATAAGATTTGTTTAGGTGGGCCTGAAAATGAGGGAGTGGTGGCAGTTTAGAAATCATGTCCTGATTTTTCAGCTTTTGCCAGCTCCCACTCTAGTTTTGAACATTTTGCCGTTCATTCCAATGGAACCAATTTCGCCACAAGAATGACGATATTCCGTGAACCATTCGGCAAAATGTTCCACAAAGTAATAGCAATCCAATCGGGAACATTCCGCACGTTTTGGTATATTTCTGTCTATGTAGTGTAAAAACTGTGGGAGGAGTTAGTGTGGTAAATTTGGCTATAATAAGAATAATATATATATGTGAGATAACATTAAGTGGTCTTGCTATGCAAGAACACTTAATAATAATAATAATAATAATAATATATATGTGAGATAACATTAAGTGGTCTTGCTATGCAAGAACACTTAATAATATATGTGAGATAACATTAAGTGGTCTTGCTATGCAGTTTTTTTTAACTGCAATAATAACTTGCTAGGGTTAACTCCACCTCTAGTGGCTATCTACTATACAGCCGCTAGAGAGACCTCCAGTGCGTTAGATTACTTTTGGTCATTCTCACACTATGCATGTCACTCACAGTATTGCATATTTTTTTCCTAAGGGGAAGTCCAGCAGAGGCAGAGACTAAACCAGCGCAGAGGGTCATCAGCGCTGTAATCAGGTAAGTGACAGAAAGCATTTTATACCCCTTCTGCACCACAGGGGAAGGAGGGGGGCTCTATAGGGTTGTTTTCATGACACTATAGTTTCCCTTTAAAGCCTAGACTCATGTTTCATAGAGTACCTAATCTATAAAATACTATTGCTCCTACAAAGTTATGTAAACCTAGAATCAAGACTCAGAGTGTCTTGTTTGGGAAGGTAAATTTCAGAGTGGTTCCAAATGTTGTCTAACCTCCATGTGTCTCATTCCCCCCAAGTGTTTTGATTTCCTCCCTGCAGCATCTCCATGTGTATTGTTCCCTCCTCCTAAGCCCCTCCACGTGTTTCATTCTCCCCAAGCCCCTTAATTTGTCTCATTCCCCCAAAGCCCCTCCATGTGTATCATTTCCCCCAGGCACTTCCATGTGTTTTTCACCCCCCTCCACTCTTACCCCTCCATGTGTCTTATTTCCCCCATGTATCTCATTCCCCCCACGTGTCTCATTTGCTCTCCC